CTACTTAAATCCCACAAGCCAAAGCAAGGCACTTAGTCAAGCTTAATATCCAAGAGTTAGAGGCATGGGTGAGGAACTTTAGGCATGAGCATGTGAACAACCATAGTACAGTCAATCACAGTGAGAGATGCAGTGATTTCCACAGACAGTGACAACAACCAGGGCCTTACAACCCTGACAGAAGAACCTCCTGAGAGGACCCTACAGCCCAGATGCTAAGCACTCAGCATGTCTAAATGCACACTTCTTGTTCCAGCCATTCCAACCTCATGGATGAGGCAGGACTGGATATTACAGTTGGTGTCTCTTCTGATTTCATGGTGCCCACTTGAAGGAGGTCTTCATTTTATTCCCTATGAAGGTTTAGTAATTATTTAGTCTTTGAAATAAACTGACAATAGGAAGGTATACACACAAAATTTATTGCATCCCCATTAGGTTAGAGAAGCTGGCCATTTATTGCATTGGAGCACTGGACTCAAGGAAAGGGCTGGAAGACAGTCTGCTTTTCTAAGAATTTGAAGGGATGGGACTTGGACTTCTAGGGCACAGGGAAGAGGCTAGTCTATGAAAGGGTGGGGGTGATGTCACACAGCAAGCCAGGGTGACCTTGTGATGCAGGTAGCTCTCCCAGCTTCTGGCCACCTTTGATCACCTCTTTTAGATTGGTGTCAGATCCTCAGTGACTTCCTCCTGTGTAAGGTCTCTCGTCTGTATACTGAGGTCAGGGACAGGGTAATAGCAACTATGAATGACATTACTTTCATTCGTTGTTTACTAATACAGACGGATGTGAGCTCTTTCTTCAAGAAGACATTGTCTCAGAGCTCTTCCTGCTTCTCAAGAGGCCTAAGGTTTCATGAACAACCAATTCAAAGCATGCCCAGGAATCTTTCCTGGAACAGTTATTTTATCCCCCCACACTGTATTAACCAGTCAAGAAATGTTTTAAGTGCGCGCGTGCGTGTGTGTGTGTGTGTGTGTATGTGTGTGTGTGTGTGTGTGTGTGCTTGAGTATGAGTCAGTGTGCCTGCACGTGCAGGTGCATGTGCACACACGTGTGGAAGTCAGAGGACAACTTCAGACGTTTGTCTCAGGAATGCCATCTCCACCTCTTTTGAGTCTGGGTCTCTCACTAGCCTGGAGCTCACCAATTAGGTTAGAGAAGCTGGCCATTGAGCCCCAGGGATCTTTCCATCTCTGCCTCTTCAGCACTGGGGTTACACACAGATGCCACCGTGACGGGCATTTTTATTTGGGTCCTGGGAGTTGAACTTGACTCCTCATGCTCATGAGGTAAGTATTTTACTGACTGAGCTGTCTCCCAAGCCTCTTAGGCATCACTCTTGAATATGAATAAGTACAAGTTGTATATTATTAAGCTTCTTTTCTAACCTGGCTCTTCACCCTGGTCTCTAGGTCTGGAGCCAGCAAAGAACCCAGTTACACACACACACACACACACACACACACACACACACACACACACACACACAAGAAACCTCCTAGGGTTCCAAGGTGGAGACTACATGCTAAAAGAGCAAGCTCTTTTCTTTAGCAATGAAAATATTTCAGAAATCTGGAAGTGCCGCCGCCACTCTGCGGAAACGTGGGTCTATGTGCCATGTGACTGTAGGGCAGACAGCAGGTTGAAGGCGACATGCACTCCATGTTGTGAAATGCCCTAGCTAGACTGAAGCTTGTGACCCTGCAGACAATTGGGGGACGCCACATCACCCATTTCATGCTGTGACAGAGCTTGTTGATTCCTGGGTAAGTGCTCATCAAGATTTTCAAAGAGCACATCAAGATTTTCAAAGAGCACATACACACACACAAAAATCAATTTCGAGGAAGAACCCCTGGGTAGCAGGATGATGGATGTCAGGTGGCTCCCCCTGAGAGTAGTGTTTTCTGTCCCTGGTGAAGCATGTGTGACCTGAGCTTCTCAGGGACACTGATGGAACAAACTCTAAATCCTTTGTCTGCCCAGACAGAGATGATCAAAGTTCCCCCACCATCCCCATTCCCAGAGATGGCCTGGAGCTTGGGAGTGCCTGCCAGGTGGCGGTAGGCAGGCTAGTGCTCCTGTGGCTGGCTGATTTAATTATACCAAGGTGTGTGGGAGTCTGTGCTCTTCTTCTTCCCTTAATCCAAATCATATTAAAAACAAGACTCTCCCGGGGCCTCTGTTCATAATAAGTGGTTTATACTGCTGCCTGGAGTGGGGGGGATTTGTGCGCCTTTCATTCATTCTCAGCCTCCCCCTCCCTCTTTTCCATCCCTCCTCCCGCACTTGTAGATGGCAGGAGAAAAAAAAATAGAAAGATGGTGAACAATTGCTTGTTTAAGTGGATGGTTAAAATAACGATTAAATTTTAAAAAGAGCTTGTAGCATAGATTTATTCATACCTCTCAAACTGGTTTCTGAGCCCCTGGACTTCCAGGTCGGAGGAGGGATTATCAGGTCTGGTGAGCAGCTGTTGTTAAGCCTGTGTGCCCCAGCGAGGCTTCCTACCTATGGTGAGGCTCTAGCCTGCCAGAGACCTGGCTCTGGGACAGCAGGGGCACTGTAGAATAGTGCCAGAGGAGTTGGCAGGGAGAGCACCAGAAAAGGAGTCCTCCTTACTAGGTTTTGTGGTCTGAGCATGCTCATCATATCACCCGTGGGCCTCCATTTCCCTGGCTACAGAGCAGCAGTGGAGATGAGCACAGGTAGGGTGGCTGTGGGCGCTGGTGGGGAGAATTGCCTGGAAGAACATTCTGCAAGCTGCTAGGCAGAGGACTCATCACAGAGGGGATCAACTCATGGTTACTGCAAGCCCTACTCCTATGCAGATGACAGTTGGGAACAGGAAGGGACCCCCTTCCTTCCTTCTTAGGGTGGAACAATAGCATGGACTGATAGGATGATAGGGACCAGAGGGTCCTGGACCCTTCAGGGAAGTGAGTAGTGACTTCAGCCCCAGGCAGGGTGATTCCTTGTGGGGACAACCCTGAGCCACCAATCTGCTCACCTCTCTAGCCAGAGAAGGTTGGAAAAACCTCTGCATGGTGCCGGTTCTCTCTCTATGAGGCAGTCACACAGACTTATCTCTGGGACAGGAACGCAAATGAACAGTAGAAAGACCAGGGTCTGATGAGGTCAGCCCAACCTCACTAGGGGACCCTAGGGTCAGGCAGTTGCTTTCATCGGCTTCAAGCCACAAGGCCTGGATTTCACTGTTAACTGCTTCTAAACAGCCTCTCTCCAATGACATTCAAGACACGACCCTCCCAGTGCCATGGTGGTAGACCCTTGTCTTCTGATTCTGCTTTCATCTCCTTTAGACATGATAAAGAAGAACGAATGAGCCTTGTGGCTGTCCCGGTGTCCCTGTCCCTCTGCATCTCAGAAGTCTTATGTCTGGGTAGGCTGGAAGACCGGAACGGTCATCTAATCCTGTGGCCAGCTTTGCAGCCCTCCTGGGCTCATGGGGTTCCTACGTACGTTTTCTAGGCAGGGCGGGTGTTTCAGAGTCTGAGTTTGGGGACGAGAGAACTCAGTGACTTCAGAATAGAAACGCCCTCTTCAAGTGGGTTAAACTCCAGCCCTGACATTTAATTAGCTTCTTTTTCAGCTCCCACACTTGAAGAGTACCTGTTATTTCTTTTCTTTTACTCACAATACCCTGTAAGCCAGGCGTGTTTGCCTGAGCTCCGGAACCTCTCATCAAAAGTCAATCACTTTGGAAAAATGATAAATAGTTCTGCAAGCCTGCCGCGAGCATGGCGGCAGATTGTGGCTCAGGCTGTGAGGGGCTGCCCCGGGTGATGGTGAAGCGAGGGGACTTGCATAAGCTCCCACTTTTTGATCTATCCACCTTGTCCTCACAATCCTTGATTAGGCCGCTGTCTCTCCAAGTGAGGTCAGGCGTCAATCTAATGGGCCCCTGGACCGTTTGCTTCTGAAACACAGCCAAGACAGCTTAATGGACGAGTAGGTGGCAGCCTAGGCACCCTACCTGCGTGGGTGGTACTAGAGCTTCTGGGACAGGTGGGAGCCAGTGGTGGTGGTGGGGCTAGAGGGAGGGCCGCTCACAGTCTCACATGGAAATGACAAAGGCAGTCGGGAAAGTACTATGAAGAAGAATGTTCAGCCCATGCCTAGGACTAGTCTGGGAAGGTTATGACAGAGATCATAGGGTGCGCAGGAGGGAGTCATGGGTAGTTATGGGCACAGTCCAGGCAGAGGAAGCTGTGTGCCCTAATGTCCTGATGCCACAGAAGCTGGAGCCTCCCATGGATGGGATAAAGTGTTCCTGACACCCATTTCTCGCTCCCTTGGTACGGCCATCCTGCCTGGCTCTTCCCCAGCCTGTTGGTCTCAGTTTCCCAGTTCCTTTGAACCCACTTTTGTGATCGCCAATCGCTTGTCCAGAAGCAGCTGGTGTCCCCATGGGCCCGCGAGGTCAGGCCTTCTGTACTGTGACTCCAATCATTCCCCTGTTTTCAACCAGTTTCCTTCCTGCGGCTCCGATGTCACCACACTGGGCTTCTCCTGTCTTGACAGTGTACCCTGGGATTGTCTGTCTCTGAACCCCAAGTTCTTCCCTGGGATTTCCCTCTTTCCTCTTGGTTTCCTTCAATGCAAGATCACTGCTTCCCCTGAGTCATCAGGCCTCTCTTGTGGGGCTAGGATTGCTTTTGCTATGCTGGGCTGAGGGCCTGGCCAGAGGTTGGGGTGTGGGGGGCACAGGACCGGCAGGGAGCATCAGGTGTGGGAGGAGGATGCTCTGGGGTCCAGTCTCATCTCTGCCATTGCATGGCTATCTGTTCTTAAGCCTAGTGTTCATATTCTTGAAATTTTATTTTATTTTTTATTTTTTTTATTTTATTTTTTTTTTTTTTGGTGGTACTGAGGATTGAACCTAAGGTACTACATGTGCCAGACAAGCACTCTACCCACTGGGCTATATCCCCAGCCCTCCTCACCTTTTACATTTGACACAGAGTCTTACTAAGTTGTCCAAGCTGGCCTGGTACTCACTCTTTATTCCAGACAGTCTTGAGTTTATAATCCTCCTGTCTCAGCCTCCCTGGTAGCTGGGATCGCAGGCCTGCTCCTCCATGTCAGCTTGAATCTTTTCAGTTCTTGTGTTCATGGTGACTATAAGAGTTCCTTGTGAAGGTCAGTGCTATAAATGAGGTTGTGCAAGACTTGGGGAAGAGTAGTTGGATGTTTTAGGAAGCACCACGGTTTCTTTCAGAAGCCGAGATGGCTTTCTTGAATACATTTTATTCAATTCCTTTCCTTATACTAGGGAGGAGGTTAAGACTGAAACAGCTGGAGACCTGGCATTCAAACACTCTCCCCGCCATCTCCTGCTGTGACGGTGAGGCTTAGTTGAGTGTCTTCAAGCTTTTGATGAAGGTGAAGCAAATGGGTTGATCCACTCCTGGACCCTGGGCTAACACTGATCCCTGGTGAAGGAACAGAGGGCTGTGGCTGCTGCCCATACCTGGCCTCTTTAGACCCACCTGATCAGTTTCATTACAAACCTGGGCAGTGTTGTAGGCAGGAGGCAGCGTCTCCTCACTAACATCTGTGCAATATCTGAGGATGACTCTTTCGTTCAGAAATCACGCTTGATATTTGACGTTCTGGAGTCACAGAGACCTACAGGCAAATTCCACATTGATGACTTGTTAACTGTAAAACTGAGCAAATAACTGAATCTTTAGGTCAGTTTTCTCAGCAACATAGGGACACGGGTGTTCAGTGAGTATAAATAAAATACTGACGCCACTGCCTGGCTCTCCAAAGTACTCATTCATCCATTCAGTACTGTCTGCAATTCTAGAAGCTGAGAGCTGGACATCAAGCCTTGTCTTGAATTCTAGTGCAGGGAGAGGGACTACAGGCTATGGAAATAAAGTAATCAGGGGAAGGACAATTTTGAGATGATGGCAGGCTGGGAATGTACAGGACAGCCAGCGGGAAGCACCTGCACCAACCCAATGAGAGATGATGGGGGCCTGGACCAGCCTGCCAAGCAATGAGACTGGGGTAGAGTGGTTGGATTCTGTATGTATTTTAAAGGCAAAAGCTACAAGACCCCACGACAGGTTGGATGTGGGAAGTGAGAGAAAGAAGTTGGAGATGGTATCAAAGTTTGGAGCATGAGCAGTTGAAAGGGTAAAGTATGGGGGAGCTCTTGCTTGGTGTCAAGTGTTCTCTCAAAGGTAACAAACGTGTCCCAAACAAAGCGAATCTCACCCACAAGACTACCTGAGTAAACACTCCCCCTCCCTTTATCCTCCCAACGACTTACAAGCCTGAGTTATCACACCCAGCCAAGAAAAAGTTTTGTTGACTCATCTTTCAAGAAGACAGGAATTTTTCATAAGCCTGTCTCTTAGTCAGTTGGCGAGGCAGAGCTGTCAGGAGGGTAAGGTGGGTAAGAGTGCTTCTTGGAGTCGTCCACCCCAGAGGCGCTGCCGTGGCTTTGAATATGAAATACCTTTCGTGAGTTCACGTTTTCAATACTCAGTTCCCAGATGGCAGCGCCATTTTGGAACTTTGGTAGGCGGGGCTGACCTGGAGGAAATAGGTTCCCGGCAACATATACCTGAGCCCCCAATACCTGCCTATGCGCTCTATGCTTCCTGTCTTCCACAAGGTCCTCAGCCACATGTTCTCACAACTATGATATTTTGGCCCAGGCTCTCGAGCTGAGCAGGTGTGGACTGAACCCTCTAAAACAGTGAGTCCAAATGGAGTTCTTCTTTAAATTGGGTCTGTCGGGCTTCTCATCACAGCAGCTGTGGAAAGCAGCAGGGAGAAGCTGTTGGTTGGATGGCGAGAAGGGAGGTGTTAGGGCCTTTGGTTTAGGCTTAGGTAAATATGTCTTTCACAGGCTGCATGCTTCTTTTTGGTAGGAGTGATGCTCTGCACAGGAGTTTGAGTTTGTGAAGATGAAGAGGATCATGGACAGCATGAGTGGCCTTCTTCTGTGCATATCTGGTTATTATTATTACAACTGTGTGTGTGTATGATAGGTACACGTGCCATGGCACATGTGTGAAGGTCAGAGGACTTTGTGGAGTCAGTTCTAGCCTCTCATTTCTACATGGCACGGTGGACTCAAACTCAGGGGCTTGTGTGGCACGTGTCTTTACCCACTGAGCCAACTCACTGGCCCTGCATGTTTATTCTTCAAAAGTTATTTTTGATGGGTGGTGGCAGCACACACCTTTAATCCCAGCACTCTGGAGACAGAGGCAGGCAGAAGATCTCTGTGAGTTCGAAGCTAGCCTGGTCTGCAGATCGAGTTCCAGGACAGCCAGGTCTATTACACAGAGAAACTCTGTCCTGAAAAACAAAACAACAACAACAAAATTATTTTCAGGATGACTTTGAGTGGATTCTGGAGACATTCTGTCTTAACAACTTAGGCATTTTGTTACTTAACGAATTTCTGTCTGGGTGTGTTCAAACTTGGTTAGTTTCACTGTTGAAGACATCAGACTATGGGAGGCAGAAGCTCAGGCCTGTGGCCTCGGTGGTGGTGTGAGAGGACAGGTAGCCAGCCTGGAGACGATTTAAATTAAGCTGAGTGGATGGATGAGATGGTGGGCTTGGGAGGTGGGACGGTGCATGTGAAATGGGAAGCACCAAGGACAGAGCCCAGGAGTCTCCAGGCAGGGCTTGACTTTTGATCATCACCACGTGGGGCTCCCCAAACTTCCACCTGGAATTCAGAGCTCCTGGAGGGAACCCACTCTTCTTCACACAGAATCACCTGACCTCTGTCTCTCGGGTGTCTGGATGCATCAGCTAATGACTTCAAACAACTGTACTTGGGGAGTGGAGTAGGAAATCGCCCTCTCAATGAGAACTTTGTGTTACATGGTTTAAAGGTTTTTTTTTAAAAAAAGATCAAGTAACAAATAGCAACAACATTCAGTTTTCACAATATGAATTTCCTTCTTTGTTGTTCTGAACAAAAACTGTGACTATTTCTTTTAATTTTATTTTTATTTATTTACTTCTGTGTACGGATGTTTTGCCTGCATGTATGCCTGTGTACCAGGGCAGTAGCTCCTGTGGAGGCCTGAAGAGGGCATCAGATCTCCTGGAACTTGAGTCACAGATGGCTGTGAGCCAAGATGTGGGAGCTGGGAATTGAACCCAGTCCTGTGCCAGAACAGCTAGTGCTCCTGACTGCTGGGCTATTTCTTCAGCCCTTGATTCTCTTTCTTTCAAACTTCCCCCACTGGTTTCTGAATGTCCTTCTCACTGTGTTGTTCTTAGTTGATATCTGAAGACTCCTCATTTGAAAAAAAAATGTAGACATAGTCTATTTTCAAATAGTTTGCCTTGTTTACTGCATACTGGGTGGACTGTATGCATATTAGCCATCATTCAGAGGTTGGCTGCTTGGTCAGTGAGGCCTAACTATTGAGTCCAAAACAACTTCTGGAAAAGTACTGCAACTGATCCACTCAGAACCAAGGCTTAAAAGAATCTTGAAAGTTTTCACTACAAAGAAATGAAAAATACTTGAAAAGGTAAATGTATTTATTAACCCTAATGAAATATAATACAAGACATACATTACTGAAAACTACATGTCATCTCAGTAGTATATATGATTTTTATGTTCTTATATATTAGTTAAGAATTAACCTCCTGAAGCTAATGGAAAAGAAAATGATTAACCGTATTCTACTACTCTTGGTTTGGACTTCGAGGCTATTCTATGTGGTGTGAACTTTAGGATGGGTGTTGTGAGAATGTAATGTTGACATTTAGCAGCTGCCCTGCCTAAGCTCACCTGACACAAATACTGACAGATACTCTACTGGGACATTGTGACTCCCAAGATTCATCCCTTGAAAGTGCCACATCCTGCTTCCCATCTCCCATCTGAGTCCTTCAGGGATATCTGAGAGCCTAGATGCAGACTCTTTCTAGGAAACCCCTGCTCCCATCCTCAAAAAGGTATAAAAAGAGGCTCCCTCTGCCTCATGTGCTCCGATTCTCTTCAGAAACCCTGGTATGCTGTCTGTTTCTGGTGCTGGGACCTGAACTCTCCTCTGTGTTGTTGTCCCCTTGTCTGTCTGTCCATCTAATAATACCTTAGTCCCCAGCAATCCATTTCAGTGTCCTTTTGAGCCACCTGATCCATCCAAACCCTAACATGTGTTTCTCTGATACAGGAGACAGCCAACAGTCTTTATTGGCAAGGATTTGCCTTCTAGCTTTTGCTAGCTTTGGGCTGGGAATAAACTGCTAATTGTGTTCACTGTCATCAGTTTACCAGTTGGCTTTATAGTCAGTTTAAAGCCCCTGCCATCAGGGTTCATTTTTTTCCCCTGACAGTCACAAGCCTCAAGTTGCTCTTCCAGTTCATTTTTAACCAAGCAGCACGACAAGCAGTTTTTGCTGAAAGGTTGTCATGTGAAAGTTTTAAGCTGTCTCTTGGAGAACCTGCATCCTTTCTCATTTACTACCTTTTTTTTTTTTCTACCTCAGTTGAGTTTGAGAAAATGATAAAAAAAAAAAAACAACAAACAATAAGGAGACTGGGAGATGCCTCAGTGGGTGAAGCAAGTTTGAGAAACAGTTCAGACCCCCAGCACTCCTGTAAATGTCCAATGGTGCCTGTAATCACTCCCATATGGGAGTTGGAGACGGCATCCTCGGAGCAAGCTGGCTAGCTAAGAGCAGCTGAACTGTCCAGCACCTGCACATAAGCACACACATGTGTATCCCACACACATGCAGATATGTGTACATGCATCACACGCATGCACACACACACACACACACACTTCACAGCACATATACAGACACATGCAAGCAAACAAACAAAACAGCTACCCAAATAAAACCCAAGTCTTATTTCTACAACTGTTACTTAGGGCTGTGGGGAAGACTGGGACACTTCCTCCCCAGCCTCAGGCCCTCTGTCACCATTATACCTTGCCCTGTATTTTCTTGGGGACAGCCAGGAGAGAAGTCACCTGATACCTTTGCAGACAGAAACCTCATATTTAGGGAAAACGCGTTTTAGGAAATTAGGTTCTGTGAGAAGGGACACGTTTTTCCGAAAAGATTGTGTCTTTATTAGAGATCAGGCTGACAAAAGGTGCCATAGCCTTTAGAACTTAATGAGTAAATTTAAATGTTGGATGCAAATGAGGCATAATATTAACTCTGGCTGCAAAGAGCAAAGCATGGAGGAGGTAGTTAAACAGCTGTGAGGCCTTTTTATTTCCTGACTAGACAAGCCTAGGAGTTAGTTGCTTTGCCAACATGCAGGCATATTTCTGATGACTTCTGCCAAACCACATGGAAGCACAAAATGAATGGTATAAAGAGAAGGAAGCTGTTCAGCATGCAGACCCAGGGCAGGGTGGAGCAGGATCGCTCTATTGAAGAACTCACCTCTCCGCACTAGGTAGGTTCCCCAGGCTGGGTCAGATAGTGGCTTCCAGCAGCAGCCTGCAGCAAGAATCCTTGATGAGGACTGTTAGGAGGGGCTGTGTCTGCTCCACCTCTGCTCCCACCTGCCTGTAATAATCCCACTGTCAGACTGCACTTACCCTCCGGAGGTGCCAAATTCTATTAGCTGCAGACAGTAATATTTCCATACCTGTGCCTGTAATCACCTCCCTCCTGCAAGTGGATTAGTAAAAAATGCACATGCAAATACATCAGTTACAAACCCAGTGTCCCTCTTCACATGCAAATGCAATCAATAGACACCAAGGTGATTTGCATAATGGAAAAAGGAAAAAGGAAAAGCCTTTTGTAACGTGGTATTTGGGGGTGAAAACTTAAAGACCTCATGTGATCTGATGCACTCCAAGCCTGTCTGGGTGTCTGGCACAGTGTGTATCCTGATGTGCTTCCCAACAATCAGTTGCTGAAAGATCCGAGGCACAAAGCTCCCCTTTGTTCAACCAATCTCTTGCTTCAGCCCCTCAACACATAATACTCAGGCATAGGTCTATATTTTGATTTGAGGGTATCTTCCTTGCAAGCTTGAGGCTAGAAGAGTGCCACCCCTCACTTCAGACTCAGTAGCTTAATTCTGAGACCATTTAACCACCACACTCTGTCATGGGTCAGTTGGAGGGACTGAGGCCTTGAGCAAAGGGACAAATTGTCTACACTGACGTAAGCAGTAGAGTTGGACTAAAATTAGCCAGCCTGAGGGAGGGCTTGCTGGATGCCAGACTGGCCTTTCTACATCATGGGCCCTCACAGGGCTGGGAGTCTCTCAGGAGATTCTTGATGTCAAGTGACTCCCCTGGGACAAAACTTGACTGCTAATTCTCTGGCAAGGCCTAGAGAGTTCCAGAACCTAGAGAGGGTACAGCTCTGGCCCTAGAGGATGCTAAGGTTGGTATTTTGTTGTTGTTTATAAGAACCTTTTGTACATCAGAAACATATTTAAGGTTCCTTTTCATTTGATGGCAATGATATAAGAGTATGTTAATCAAGAAAATAGAAAATGACAGAGAATACCAAGAATGTACATTAAAAAAATAGCTCGTAGGGAGGAACAGAAGCAACCTAGCTGTCCATCAGTAGATGAATGGATACTGAAAATGCGGCAGGTATACACAACAGAATTGTCTTCAGCTGCAAAGAAAAACCAAGTACTGAACTTTGCAGGAAAACTTGTGGAGCTGGAAAGTAGCAATCAAGGTGACTCAGAAAGCAGAAACTGCGTGCTCTTTCTCGGTGTGGATGCCAGCTTGCAGTGTTTATGTGTGTGTGTATGTGTGTATGTATGTATGTATGTATGTATGTATGTGTGTATGTATGTATGTATGTATGTATGTATGTATGTGTGTATGTATGTATGGGTGGGTGGGTGAGTGTGGGTGTTGGCTATGAAACTAGAAATGAGACCAGCAGAGGGGAAAGAGAGGTGCTGAGGAAGAGGCAAGGGTAATGGGACACACAGGAAATGACGTCAGAGAGGAAAGTATGGGGCCTGAGTGGAAGGGTACAAGGAGGAGTTATAGGATGTTAGAGTCCGTGGGGGAGAAGAATGAACAAAAACAGATTTTGTTTGAAAACGTCATAATGAAGCCTAATATTATGTATGATAATTTTAAAAAAATGGCATCTTAGAAATACAGGCTAAAATAACCATTACTGGAAAATGGATGAGGGGAGTGAATCTGATTGGCCAATGGGTGCAGAGCTACAAGCAGATATGAGAAACAATTTTGAGTGCTCTGTTGCACAGTTGGAGCACTGTCCTCAACAATAATATGCATCTCAAAATAGAAAGTGTGCAAGCTGGGCGGTGGTGGCGCACGTCTTTAATCCCAGCACTTGGTAGGGAGAGGCAGGCAGATCTCTGTGAGTTTGAGGTCAGCCTTTTCTATAGTGTGAGTTCCAGGACAGGCTCCAAAGCTACAAAGAGAAACCCTATCTCAAAAAACCAAAAACAAAAACAAAACAAAAAAACCAACCAAAAAAAAGTGCTTTGAAATGCTGTCTTCATAAAGAAATGCTAAATAGATAATGAGATGGCTATACTAATCACTTTGATTGATCATTATATAATGAATGTATCCATGTATCCAAATGTGTTACACCTTTTATGTTCAATTATTGTCAATTAAATAAAAAAAGAATGAAACAGAAAGACAAAACGAGCTTGTAGATGTGGTACAATGACTTTTGAGCCCACAGGCCATGCCTGGACAGCCCGCCATTTGTGGAGGTCACAATGACTCTACTGGGTGGGAAAATCTTTTGTGTTGGTAAAGGTTGGAATAGATCCTGTAGTCTGGTTTGTTTTGGAGGCTGAGACAAGTGGTAACCAGCTGGCTAGAGCATCCTCCCAAGTAATATGCTTCAGAGATTTTTATCTGAGAACTGAGACTCATGAATGGGGTAGCACTCCAGATGGGAAGGTGATGGGATGGGAAGGTGCCCAGAGGGTTCCTTTCAGTCTGAGGACAGAGGAATTTTATAGGCTGGAGGAAGAAGTAAGAGAAAGAAATGTTACTTGGCTGGCTTTATAAGCAGGCATTTGCTTTATTTAGGTATGGTCCTACAGCAGAATCCAAGTTATGTAACTACTTAATGGCTGGGTAACCCCAGCACTCAGAGGGCTGAGGCAGGAGGAATGTGAGTACCAGGTCCATATGAGCTACATGTGATGGCTTGCCTTAACACACACACACACACATCCCTCTCTTTAACGCTCACAAGCTCACAAACAAAGCAAACCCTGGTTGCCCAGTTGACTGCTTGGTTGGTGTGATTGGCTTACTGTAAGCTGAAAATGAGTTAGTTACAGAGGCTGTGAAGGGACAGGAGCGGGAGGTGGGCAAGGAGGGGAAGGCAGGAGAGAAGGGGGAGAGGGAGGGGCATTAAAATTAACACATGAAAGAAGCCAGTTGGGAGAAAGACTAGAAACTCTCCCACATGTGGTGATGGGTAAAGATAGCCCTCAGTCTCCAAACTGGGAACAAGGAAGGTGTTATGTAAACAACCCCAAAGGGTCACTATTCTCAGGGGCTTAGGGCATTTGATCCTTGGACCTTTCCTAGCTCTCTGGTCCAATTTTATGTTCGTGATTGTTCTCTCTCCTAACAGCCCCCTCCCAGCATTCTATGTCTCTGGCCCAAATCTTGGTTCTGTGTCATAAGAACCTGGAACTATCAGCACGTGTCTTCTGGACTCTGACTCACACCGGGACGGACGGCATTGCCTCTAAGGTAAGTTTTGCTCTACTTGTGAGAATGTTCTGGGTGCACGAGCATTGCTCATCTTCTACTTGCTTTGTTCTGACATAGTCAGGATGCCTTCCTTTTTAGCCATACTGAAACAAGCATTGTGAGTGTGAGACAGAGGGGGATGAGGCTGGAGAGACTGGGAAAGAGCCTTACAAGCTCTTCTGAGGAAGAGTGTAGATCTTGGCTCAGAGCAGAAAGCCAGTGTCGAACAATAACAAGGATAAGCTGCCATTTACCAAGTGGCTACTAATGTAGCAGGAACCATCAGAAGATCAGGTACAGACTCAATGTGCCTTTCCCTCATAACATCCGGGGTCTCTTGTCCATTGCTCTCATTGAATCAAGTTTTATTTATTTATTTATTTAGGTTTTTTGAGACAGGGTTTCTCTGTGTAGTTTTGGTACCTGTCCTGGATCTCGCTCTGTAGACCAGGCTGGCCTCGAACTCACAGAAATCCGCCTGCCTCTGCCTCCCGAGTGCTGGAAAGGCATGTGCCACCACTGCCCGGCCTGAATCATGTTTTAAAGAGCAGATTCTAGCAGCTGAGGTGGTTAAACAGGAATCCCTGTCTTCACTGGCATTTCTCGAAGAGCAATTGAACTTAATCCGCACAGTAAAGTCACCCAAGTCCCCTCCTGCGCTGAGCCCCCTACACTTCCGCAGCCTACTTGAGAACCTCTCACTTGGCACCTGCTCCAGAATGCTCTCTGGGGATTCCAGCAGTAGTTTTCCCTGCTGTTTCCCCATCCCCCCACTTGGCCCTCTCCCCCTCCCTTGTCACCAGGAGAACAGACAAACGCCTCTTGCACCCAGACTTCCTTTCTCCCCTCCCATCTGTTCTTCAGGTTCTCCAGGGCAGACTTGGCCTGAAACACCCGAAAGGCTGGGAGCTCTGTCTTCTGGCCTCTAGCTAGCTCTCTTTCCTTGCCTTCTTCCTAAGTCACACCCTAAAAATACATAGAAGGAGACAGGAGGCATAAATCTCATGAAGGACACGGGTGAGGCAAAGCCAGACAAACTTCTTGGGATGGTTTGGGATGGGGATAGGGAGACGGGGAAAGACGGATTGAAACCGAAAGTGCTGATGTGTAAGAAGAGGAGAGGAGAGGAGAAAGGGAAGGGGACAGGAGTGGGAGGAAGCAGGGAGGGGATGGAGGGAGAGTGTGAGTTTGAGGTCAGCCTTTTCTATAGTGTGAGTTCCAGGACAGGCTCCAAAGCTACAAAGAGAGAGAGAGAGAGAGAGAGAGAGAGAGAGAGAGAGAGAGAGAGAGAGAGAGAGAGAGAGAGAGAGAGAGATAGGATGAACCGGGAAAGAACCAGGGCATCTCTAGATCCAGATGCCAGTACTGCCTCTAGCAAATCACACTAGGGCAAGGCAAGTCTAGATTCACAGGTTGGGAAGACTCTATCTCCTGCAGAGATGTGCAGAGTCACACCATAAAAGGTGGAAAACTAGCTTTTTTTTTTTTTATAATCTCACACAGTGAATTGATTAGGACTTCCATCCTGACTAAACTTCCATCAGGATCTTCTGAGGCCTGCCAGAGTCTCTTTGAGTAGACCTCCTCCTTGGCCTGTCTGTCTTTGGGTTGCTGAGGCCACTTTTAGCAAAGATCCTGCTAAGCCAGTTTCTTGAGGATTCTCTCCATCTCTTGATACCCTTGGTATCTAAGCAAGATCCACCCCCAGCCCAACCCCTGCTTCTTATTCAACCACATTTCTTCTAGTAATGTTACATGTTCCTTCACGCTACCTGTTGGCTGTAAGTCTTCAGCTGTCCCGTTTGGAGTTGACTCAACCTCTCTTTCATCATAGCAGCCTTTACAAGTACGCAT